GTGTCTGTGAATGATGACGTAATGCCATAAAGAGACAAGTCTCCCTTGTAGTGATGACCTACAAAACATTTTTTCCATGTATCCGGTATACATCAGAAAGATGAGAATCGTGGAAGCGAATTAATCACGAACAAAACAAAAAGAAACAGAAAATAAAATATTTGCAAACAATAAAGAAAAAAATGCTCTATTATTTTTTGTCTTATAAATCTAGAAACGTTTGCGTATCTGAAAGTTCTCCTTTCGTTTTATAACGAATCGTATAAATCAGATCTAGATACTTTATACGAAAAAAAAAAAAAAAAAAAAAAAAAAGAAAAATAAAAAATCGTTGAAACAAGGCAAACTAAATAATATCCTATTTAATTGTATACGACTTTCCTTCATTAAGAAAGAATTTATCCACATTCTTTCTTCAATCGTTAGCGGGTGATTCAGTCGATCAATTAGTAATTGATCGAACATGATCGCTCTCAATACTACAAAGCGAATGGAATCGAAGTAGCCATTCAGTCTGCGGACGAAGATTAGATACACGAGCTGTACAATTAGGCTACCAAATGGAATATGTATCAACTGGAAAAATAAAACAGTAGCTATCTGTTAGTTATTTAATTTATACGATTGCATATTCAACGTACGTTTTATTCGTAGAAACACCCCCTATAGAGATACAAAATAATGATCCGCGAAATGAAAAAGTTGCGCATTCGTTGAATCTCTTTTTTCTATTTTCCTTTTTTTTTTGCCGCTAACGTATGTATTAAATCATTTAAATTGAAGGACGTCGTATGTTCTATATCTTAATTTATATCTACGATAACAAGGTAATAAAAACAATTAACGCAATTGTACAATATTATCTTTGTGAACAACCTGAATAATCAAAAAATTTTTAAGTCATATACTCGAGCAATGATTTTTAAGCTGACGGAATATCTATTTAATATTAATAGTGATAAGAATTATTAAAAAAAAAAAAAAAAAAAAATTTCTATCTCATAGTTGTCTCGGAAAAATATAAAATAAAATTCGATTTCGAATTCCCACCCACTGGTTTATCCTCTCGTAGACTTTTCCTCCCACGCGTGTCGGAAAGTACGAAGATATATATATCGGTAAGCATGTCTGACGAATAAAAGTTCGAATGCTTCTCTTGCCTGAATGAACCTACGCGAGATTCAAGAGAGTCTCGAAGTCTTACTATCAAACGACTCCTCGTTTCCTTCGACGTATGCTTACAAAGGTGATTCGCCGTTTTGTTTCCTCCCTTTATTTCCTTTCGTTTTCACCATCTTTAAACGGAATATAAAGGGTTTCTTCTCTTCTCTTTCTTGCGACTGACACATCGCTGTTAACTCGCCCACGTTCTTTCCAACGCTATTATTTTCTGTCTCTTGGAATAATCCTACGTTCTTAGAAATAATCCAGAGAAAGGACTGAGACGTATCTCATCAAGTTTTCTTATCCTATCATGATGATCCATAGCATGAAAATGCTATGATAAAATTTTATGCTGATCTTCCTTTTCAATTAATTCAATGAAATCATTCTTTGTAAATTCATTTATATTTTTAGATTACGTTTATGTTGATTTTAAAGTACTATGATAAATTTCATTAATCGAATAGATTAATGAAACGATAAGATTTAATTATCATAATATTATCTATCGATTAATAAGAAATAATTATTTATCATTATGAAAATATAATTTGTTGAATTAAATTCATTTTCTCGTATATACCAGTTATAGAAATGAAAATTATAACGCAATATCTTTTAATATTTAATGCGATAATAACATTACGCTTAGATCTCACATTGGTATCTATGTTGCGCGGCTCCTGCTACGGTTGATAAATAGCATCATAAATAATTTTATGATTCTATGCATGCCGGTTGACAGTGAAATTACTTCCATTCGTAGAGATAAAATAGTGCGACGACGATTATACTACTAAAAAAGATCCGTGAATCTCACTTGGTTAATCATAAAAATAATGTTTTCGTAATTGCTATTTCATTTTCTTCCCTCATAATTTTATTCAAGTTTTGAACTTTGATACTGTACACCAAACAAGAATCTACGAAACAATGCAAGAGTTTCTAGTGTATAAAGAGAACTTTATGTGATACTAAAACGATGAAACTCGACTATCAAACTACCTGAATGCGTAGGCACTTGTGTATGTGTATAAAAGTTAGACAATAGGTAGTTCTAGATATATCATCGTCATCCATATATATCTTTAAATTGGCGCTTCGTCTTACAACGATATACTCATTGAACGCAAAACCTCCTCCCATAATTACGCAAATAACGAGCGGACGGTCAATTACGGGGCACCAGCTAGTTAACCTAAAAACGTCATGTCTGTAAACGGTACTATAAAATCAAGTGTACTTGTATATTCATTCTTCCTTTTGCATAGAAATACGTTGATAATGATTCTATGGAAAGCTGGAATTCCTAAAAATGTTTTTTCTTTATTTTTTTTTTCTTTTTAAATGAAAAATCATCTAAAAAGAAAATTCACATAATCTAGCGTGGAACAAGTGTTAATTAATACTGTTCGTAATTGATCATAATCATAATATGATTTTAGGAAGTCAAAGTAGCTCTACCCTGACTTTATGTCTCTCGATTAGGAATAACTGTCCACTCCAATCCTGAAATATCGGTTTGTCACCGTAAATCCGGCTTTACTCCAGCGAACGTGACATTTCTCCTACTCCATCTCCATTTCCTTCTCTCTTTATCTCTCTCTCTCTCTCTCTCTCTGTCTCTCTCTGTCTGTCTCTCTCTCTCTCTGTCTCTCTCTCTGTCTCTCTCTCTCTCTTTCTCCTCATTGATAAATTTACCTACAAATTCAATCATACAAATTATTCGTCCTAATAACGAAGAGCTTTGGAAGATATCATCATTATGACATTTCCTTCAAAATTAATCAGGCTATCTCTATAATTATTATATATTTCGTATATAATTTGAATATTGATTCAATTAATAGATTGAAAAAATATTAACCGCAATCTGGTGACACGAAATGATACTCTCTGTATTCGACTGACGAAATGGATTATAAATCGAGACATTTTCAGGTTTATTGAGAAATTTAACGATGACCAACCGACCGAGCAATATTTATAGAATAACGGTTGAAAGAACAGATGGTGAGCGATTGACCCATCCGCTATTTCTATTTGTTATTATAAACATTGAGTAGCCATGATTGTCAAATGCAACAAGTCATAAAACTTTTAATACGAATTAATCTAGATGATCGTTTCTACAAATACGGCTTTTCCGGAATATAAAAAGATAGAAAAAGAACATGTGGAAATAGTCCGTTCAAAAGGAGAATTGAATGAATGTTCCTGAAGCTCGAGAACTGGTCCACTGATTAAGACGTATATGTCAACGTCAAACTACTTTCCTAACTCGATTTGCAGTGCATCATCGTTTTCTGTATTTTCAGTTGGCTAGGCTAGATCTCGCAATACAAGTTGGACCACCCAGGGAATCTCCTGGTGGTCATCTGCCTGCAGCCATTCAAGATCTCGCAGCAATTACCAAGCTACGCCTAGCACACGTTAAAGTGCACTAGCGTCCAGCAAGTATACACACTGAGTGATGTAATGGAGCACCTTGATCGCCATGTAATACCATAATCAGAATTAAGTTCACCTGCCCTTTCATTTGCCCACTTTCAATGACCACAGTAATGAAACTTGTTTCTAGCTAACGTAATATATATCTGATTGTATTTATAAAAACATCTTTAAATTTTACAAACTATGCAATTTGCAATTAACTAACTTTTCAACTTGTAACGAACTTTTACCCTTTATATTAATCTGACTTCTAAAATGAATTATTTCACATATCCAGACATAATAGAACGTATTTATAATTAAGCGTCATTTAGAGTATTCGTATTCACATTTCGAATTCACAATTCGTATTAAATTGAAACAAGTTATGCGACGATAATATTCCAGCGATCCTTTCATCATTTGCATATTTCCCGCTACGTAAACACATTCAACCAAAGTTTACCATCTTACACGCGTACACTCGTGACTTTAAATTCGCCGCCAACGCGCTAAATTATTACCTCAAAGTTTACTGACCTTCGCGAATGCCGCAGTCATCAATGACGTCGAATGTTCGGCCAAAAGAAAGAGCTCTATCGCTAAAGGCGACTTTATCCCTTCTACTCCTTAACTTTCTTCTCTCTTCTAGGGTATACAATAGATTCTTATTAAAATTCTATCGAGAAAACGTTAGCTTACCGTTCTCATTACTCACTGATGGCCACATTCATTAAAGCTCAAGATCTCAGTTGCTTTGTATATAAGTTTATATACTCCACGATAATGAGTTTGAAGGAAGTTTTAGAAAAAACGGATTGCTTGGTTATTCAATCAAATGCAAAGTGCTTTAAAGTCAACACGTCAAATTTTTAGCAGTGTCTTTAATAATTACGAATAATCGTTAATAATCATAAATTTTATGAATGTAGGAAAAAGTATATATATATATATATTTGTTGTACGTATATACTTGATCGAAATCATGTTTATTCTCGTTGAAATTCTTCTTTTCTCACGTTGCACTTCTCCGAACGGTCACATGAGATTCTACGACAAGATAGTCTGATAAGACCGAGAAAAGCTCAGTGGAATCCTGCACTCTTGAAGTTAACTCATGTACTAGACTTCTGACAACTCGCCATATACGCTAATACGCGTTTTCCTAATACGTTCACTACGGGAGAGTTAAAAAAGATATACGTGTTACTTCACTACCTGCTTTACTATCCAAGGTTAAACAGGATTGCTCAAGTTCAATGACAATATGTTTATGTTCGTAAAAAAGGAAAAATAATTTTCCTCTTTACAACGGCAACGAGTTATTTATTTTTGAAAGAAAAAAGAAGAAAAAAAAAAAAGAAAAGATAAATTTGAAGCTTCCCTTTTTTCGTTAAAAAATGTCCAAAAAAATCTTTCGATCGTCATTGATTTTATTCGGTTATAAAAGTGTATCAATTATTCTCAGTCACAGTTATTCGATTCATCTAGGAAAGAAGGAGAGAGATATCATCGATCATCGTTAACTCGAGTTGATTCACGTAATCTTGTCCGTTTTGGGTTAGCGGCACGAAATGAATAGTGACATGTCCCTCTTCCTTGCTTATCCTTGCCCCTCTCATGACAACTATAGTTAGCGAATGTCCATCATCATTACTAACTCTTGGCGCCTGCCCAAATCTCTCAGCAAACGTACATTAGGCACGAGTCGAACGCAACGAAATGTAACAAGACGAGTCATCCGACTCAGGATGCATTCATACTGCTGCATTTACTAGAGCTATAATTTTTGAATAAATAGAAAGGTGAGAGAAAGAGTGAAACAAAAGTGGTGTTGAGTTCCCGTTAAAGAAATGGCTTTGAGTACCTGTAAAGCGTACTGTGACGATAAATATTTGCACAGTTAAACGTGATTTTACATCTTTTATGAATTCAACTGTTGCTTCGTTTAAATTCGCAGAAAAATTATTCTGAGTAAATATTATATTTGTAATCATTTCTTTTCGCAAATGAAGTAGCTATTATTGTGTACAAACTTATAAAAATAACGTATAAAAAAAAAAAAAAAAAATAAGAAAAAGAAACTTAATGTACAATCTATGTATGTCAAATTTGGATTTCATAGTGGTTATTTTTTTTTTTTTTGTTAATCATATACCAATCATATACCAAGAAATTTGTAATTAATCCCATGCAATATTTTCTCTTTAATTGTTTTAATAATTTCGAGAATTATCTTCGCAGATCCACAGTTATGTTTTTCATCGACTCGAATTATTTTTTTTTTTTTTTTTAAGGACACAACGATGAACTCATCGGACAAAATTCTTTCCGAGAAACGATTCATTAAACTAATCGCATGACTATTCCAAACGTAGTGTAAACGCACGTTCTTTGGAATTTTTCGTGCCTCGCAATACTAGACGTGTCCATGATCAAATCGTTCGCATTTCAGTGAATACCAGTTTACGCAGTACTCTTTCATGACTTGACTCATAATTCATTTTTGTTAATCGAGGAACGTTTGTAAGTCGAGGTACACGTATCTCTTATCTGAAAATAAAAAACTTCAATTTGTCGATAGTAAAAGTGAAATCGTAGAAAATGTCGTTAGAATTTAATAGCGGAAAATAAACAAAATAATATAATATAAAAGTTCAACGTTACTGATAACGTATATAACACGAACATTATTTATCATATTCACCACAAATCCAATCGGCCTTCCATGCAATTACAGGATCGCTGTAGGTGCCCAACGTACTCGGGGTTAAAGAGGCACAGGCAAAATGAACAAAATGACGTTAAATATATGCCGCTAAGTGCTCGTGAGCCGCAAGCGATTTGAACGTTCTTATGAGAGAGAACGGTGTACGTGTTACGTTTGAAACAGGTCGGCAAACACCAACCAATTTCACATAAGCTACCGAGAAATTTCTTATATTTAGATATTATACGATACGATCTATTAAAATATAACTCTTCAGTTAATAATCGTTTTGTCAATGACACTGAGATATTAATGTACCTAGGTATTATCTAAGCTACGTTTAATCGAGAAAATGAAATTGATCAGATAATGTTTAATGATAAATCCTTCAAAGATCTCCTACAAATATTGACAATATACTTTTGAAATCACGATCCATTCAAAACCTAAAACTCGATCAAAAAGGAAAAGGCAAACGTTATAACGAGCAAACTACTCAATCGAGGGAAAGTTATAAAGCGTGTGTGATTTGCTCTTCGTTTGATGGAAAATTACGGAATATTCAAGGTAAAAAAAAAGAAAAAAAAAAATGAAAATAAAAGAAATTCTCGCTTAAGGAGAGAAAAGATGAAATTATCTGGCAATAAATTACATTATAACGTTTGCCTTGTTTCCAATCGTAAAGGTCACGACACGAGCCACTAATTTACGCCACATAAAATTCTTAATTCATCGATGAGTCAGCCAAACGCAATAACCATCGTTATCGTCTTCGTCCGGTGAATGATCTATAAGAAACCAGATAGATCAGCGTAATCGCATGGAATGAATATGTCCGATAGGATCGTCGTCCGTCCTTCAAATGAGAATGCATTGTCGAATGCTGTCGAATACGGTAAGTCGTTCTGTTTATTTTATCGACCACTGCTGTCCTTACGTCACATCAATTTTACTTTGAGTTTTATAAAGCTTACGATAAACGAGACATTGTTGCTATATCGGTGAATTTAAGAACTAATTTTTAAAGAGCATTATTTCATACAATTATTAAAATTATCTGTATATTTCACCGATTCCTTTTGTTTCCCTTTGTTAAATTTTATTATAATATTGAAGTTTTATCCAATTAACACGTACTAACGTTACAAAAATGAAGCTACAGCTTATCTTGTCTCGTGTGACGCTCACTCTTCTGCGGCTCAGTGTTAACTGAGACGTTAAACAAAACATACCAAACGAAATAAGGAGAAATAAAAATAAAGGTCACATCGCCACGCGACGATCCACAATATACAATTCTGTCTGAATGTTTACAAATATATGATTATCTCTCCTTCTCTCATTTATCCTTCATTTTTATTTATATTTTTCTCTTTCACGATCCGTGATAATACTTTACACAAAATCTTCTTTAGACTTTCCCAAAGCCGGCATGTCGTGACGATGGTAAAAATTGTCTTAGAAAACGTACACTTAACCCCGCCCCTTAACTCTTCTGAAATTATACGTTTTCCATGGTTACGCCTAATTATACTTCGGGACAACGGATGTTATATTATCGCCAAGGAGTGCCTTAAGAATATACTTCGGTTTGTAATTAAAATTCCGTTTGAAATATGAATCATAAAAAGAGAGAAATATAGAGTATCTACAAATTAAATAAAAAAAGAAAAAAAAAAAAGAAAAAAGAAAAAAAAAGAGGAAACAATAATTAAAAAGCGACAAGATATCGGTACGATATATTCATTATCGATATAAAACATCTTCGGGATCGAAGAGATCGAGGGATGCAACATGGTAGCAATCTATCCAATATCTATTATAGTTGAACCATTCAAATCAAGTGCCTTATTATTACAACATGCTGAAATCAGCCAGTAAAATATCTCCTATCGAGTTGTTCGAGTGCATTGATCTTCATCATTTCACTCGAAAAATGTATTTTGGGAAAGATAACTTTCTATCTTTGAATCCGATAATCCTTTTCGATTTAACATTCGTAACGTACAAATATTTATTTGTTGTTATCATTTAATAATCGTCGTTTGATTAATACCATAAAATGTAAATCTAATCATATTTAGAGATACCAGTGATCAGCAGTTAAGCATATTATATATTACATAAGCTTAGTAATCCTTTTTCAAGATATCATTGGATGCTCTCAAAGTATAGAAAGGATCGAAATTTACATAGATGCAATGTCTTCAAATCATGAATCTACATAGTTAATCCAATGTCCCAGAAATTCCATGATGGTTATTCGCCAATACTAAGGCGTCGACCAAGACGATAGCGACGTATGCAATAGAAAGCTGTATAAATTATTGAAAGGCAAGTTCCAGTTCTACCTGAACGGGTAGAGAGCCGGGTCGATTCAAACGCACGATGACCGCTTCCTTTCGTGGAAAATCTTCTTCCAGACAAGATCTCGAGATGAAAGAGAAGGATGTGTCTTTAACTTCTTAAGCTGAAGATTGATTATTTTCTAAATGAAGATAATCAAATGCCAGGAATAATATCTCTTCTTTTTTTCATGTTTATTTTCAATATTCCGTATATCATTGTATATTTTAAGTATCTTATAAGTACCAGTATTCGATTTTCGACAATTCAGTAATCCAAATAAGGATGATAAACGAATAAATTCGGGTAAGTGAAACCACGATTCGAATTCGGCGACGATTAATTATTACTACAAAATTGATGACTCGAGCGAACCGCGTTGGTTTCAAACAAAAAAAAAAAGAAAAATGAAAAAAAAGGAGAGAAAGAAAAGGAAAGGAGCCGCCAAAAGAGTCAGTAATACGGTATTCGATCGGCAACAGTATTACATCTGGACAAACAGCTTGGCAGACGGCCACGAGAAGAGAAAACTCGCGTGTTCGGTGAATGACTCACAGAAGAAATATTCGGGAATATTCGTGTGCATAAACTTTTTCGATGATGTCATCTGAACAAAATTTTTAACTCAAATAATTAAACAAAATCGTAGCTTTTCTTCAATATTTTATAAAAATGAATCAAGTTATTGAATAATAAATTAATAATTGTTATACGTATTCGAGGATATTATCAACTTCTGTGTTCGTTTAAAAATTATATAAAAAAAAAAAAAAAAAAAAAAACAAAAAAAAAAAAAAACAAAAAAAGAAAAAAAAAAAAGCAAAAAAGAAAGAAAGAAAAAGCACACTAACGAAACTTTTCCATTATCGAACGAACAACGACCGCATTTCTTTCCTTTTTTCCATTATACCTTTTTAAAGCGAGTATTCTCCGTGAACCGATAAGTATTTTAACTAAAGTTTTCTCGACGTTGGACAGAACTGAGGCAGTTTTTCAGAGCTTCGTGCTTTCTAACGTTTAAAAAATGCATCGAATCGTGGAAGAATCGAGTCGGATTTCTAAGGCTACAGGAGAAACATTTAAAAAATAAAATTTCTCATTCTCCTTTACCCTGTCCCTCTCTCCCTCTCTCTCTTCCTCTCTTTCCTTTTCTTGCCACGCAACGGTACAAACGTATTATACTTGTCGAACGAATATTTTAAAAAAAGATTCTCTCTTTTTTATTTGTTTACTATTTCAAGTACCAGCTCAAACGCCCGAATCAAAGAAGAAATAAATAGATTTGAAAAATAAATGAAATATATTATCGTGACGTCGATCGAAAGATATCAATTGTGTTATTTCTAAAAAAAATAGCGTTGAAAAGGCTTTTTAACAAAAAAAAAAAAAAAAAAAAAAAAAAGAGAAAAATCTGATTCACCAATAGTGCGAGATTTAATTAAAATTGGCAGTGCGTTGTCTCTGGACGTTCCAGCGTTGTTTCCGATTCAAATAACGTTTGTCTCTCCTTGGCTCTCTTCCTGAATTGTTATGGGCTGATTCATTGGGCAAAAATTATAATTTTGTGCATTTTACCGTTATTTTTTTTTTTTTTTTTCTTTTTTTTTTTAATAGAACATAATAACACGTTCGTCTATTTTAAGATAAAAATGATTATTTATGATCGTTGAACGTAATCAAATAATTACGATATAACTCATGTTTCATGGCGTATCAAGCTTTGACAAACTGAAAATAAATATCGTGTAAATAACCATACTCATAGCCGGAACGACGAAACCAACGATCCAAGTTATAAATATGGATAAGACTAGATACGACTTCCTTGAAACTTGTTTCATCGATAATCGAAGTAACCAGAGATAGAATGTGCGTTATAAAAAAGAACTACGATTATCATTAAGTTTTTGTTATAAATGAAAAAAAAAATACAAAACCAGAGGGCATACGATTAAGTACAGAATTAATCCATAAAGTGATTAATTAATTTTATTTTTTTTTTTTTGGTTTCGATAAGATAAACGATTTATTCGACTCTTTTTTTATTCAGCATTTATAAACCCCAAGAAAATAAGAAAAATCAAACTAGGAAATGTGTTTATCTACCAGATGAAACTCAAAATGAAATCCGCCTTAGCTTTTTTCCGATCTCCGTGTTTACTCCACTTTTCGCTTTACGGAACCGGTTTCAATATAAGTGCGCGGTACCATCGTAAGGTCAAGAAGCAACCGAGAAACTCGCTTCAAATGAAGAACCTATGTTAGAACTTTTGTTTTAATGAATAATTGTGAAAACGTGTCGATCACGAATACATTATTATTTTTATTCTTTATCAGTCATTTAAACGAAATTGAAAAAAAAAAATTAAACTCTAAGTAATACTTAAAAAAAAAAAAAAAAGAAAAAAAAAAGGAAAAAAAAAATAAGAGAACAACAGAAAATAGAATAATGTACGAGAAACTAATTTCCATTCGATTTTTTCATTAATCATTCATCGGATAACACCAAAAATGTCGAGAACGAATTTTTTAAGCAACGAACATTAATATCGACACGATAGCACATCGCGCAACGATGCGAGAAAGCATCGAAATTATTCAACAATAATAGCCTGATGCGTATTCCGGTGTAGATGTGTATGTGACTAAAGAGCATAATAATTACTCGCATCGATGATTCCTTGCTGTCTATTGCACATTCTCTCTGTCTCTCTCTCTCTCTCTCTCTCTCTCTCTCTCTCTCTCTTCCCCTTCCACTATTTTTTTCATTTTTGTTCTCCTTTCCGACAATAGCTTTATTAAAGCTTAATGGAACGAACTGAATTTCCACGGTCGACATTGGATCGCATTATTCAAGCTTTCGAGTCCACCGTTACCGCTGCGTTCTGTGAAATTCAACGAGATTTAATATACTTTAAACGCGCCGTACGTGATGGAATCACCGAGCGTTATAAATTTTTTGATGCGAAATGCCGCGATGGGAATGAGAGCAAGAGAAAAAACGATACGAAGAGAGAAAGAATATGACCAGCAGGAGGACGTAACGCGTTAAGTCAAATTGTTGAAATTTATTAAGTTGTTGGAAAGTAGTCAAAATTTTATATTTTTTGAAATAAAACTTATAATAATACAACATTGGTTTGTTTATTTTTATCGAGTATAAGTTAATAATTCACAATCTCTCTCTCTCTCTCTCTCTCTCTCTCTCTCTCTCTCTCTCTCTCTCTCTCTCAATGTATTTCATACACATAACGCTAATTTTATTTATCACATCAATCTGAATTATTTTTATTATAAAATATTATTTTTCGCTTCAATACTCGATTCTTTTTCGAACGATGCAAACAAAAAGAATAAAAGCGAATCGACGAACCTGTTATTAAGGTTTTAACTCGGAATCTCAAATGGTTATGGGACAGTCATCGCCACGTACACTACATAGTGCATGATTTTTTAAATATTGCCCCTAGAGAGGATATAAAACAAAAAAAAAAAAAGAAAAAAAAGAAAGAAAGAAAGGAAAGAGAAAAAAATATCAAAAATAAAATTTAAAAAAAGAGAAAGGAAAAATAAGAAATTTTCAAACAAAAAATAATCATTTTTCGATATACGCTCTATTTCTTCTCTTTCTTTTTTTCTTTCGCTCTTTATTCGAAAGTGAATTTAATTTAAAAATTTAATCTTGCTTCGTTTTATGATAAAAA